TTACATGTATTATTTCTTTGTTTTTTCACCTCCAACTTCTCATTTCACAAACTGAACTGATAAGCAAGCATTTTATAGTAGAGACAGTAATGAGATTTCATCACTGGAGATGTTCAAGTGAAGGCTACATTGCTATTTCTCCTGCAGAGAGGATTGATTCAGGTCTTAAGTGAAGATCATTCAAGTTGTTTCAATAGATCCTCTCAGCCCTGAGATTTTATTGTTCTACCAATGTCATTATACATCTGAAAATATGGCATGAATAAGACCATGAAAATTTCATACTTTATGTGGCTGGATCATTGCACTCGTTAATATTAACCTATCCTAAGGACATCCCCTTCTACCATTTATGGACATCTTCTAGGACGGTAAACATTTTACATGACTGAAAGCCTCCTTGGCTCCAATATTGTGTTATATATACACATAATATATAAATTCCCTTATTTTATGTTATTTATTTTATTTAAAGATTTCAAAATTTTTATTTTGAAACAATTACAGATATGTAAGAAATTGCAATGAAATGTACAGAGTATTGTGATTACATTTTTTAATGAAAAATATATGGGATTTTTACTGTTAGAAATAGTACATGTTCTCTGAAAAATTTCACATAAGTCAAAAGTACATAAAAAGTAAATGAAGTATCTTCACCTTCATAAAGCACTCTGCTCAGTGCCACTGTTAACAGTTTGGTGTGCGTTCTTCCAGTCCTTTGTTAAATTGCATACATGACGACCAAATAAAAGAAACCAGCTTAACAAACAATCCCAGCTTCCTTTTCATCCCTGCATTACCCTGTCTAGAAGCCCTATGATTGTAATAACAGCCCCAAATATAATAGTAGCTCCTGTTTATGAGTGTACCAGGATGTACTAGGCTGGGTATTTGTACACATGATCACAACAATCCTATATAGAAGGTATTTAGTAGGATTTGCAGGTAAGGAAACTGATACTTAAGGTTGCACAGCTACTTAAGTAAACCTGGAATTTAACCCAGGTCTATCTAATTCTCAATGCCATTATCTTTTCTACTCACGGTCTACAGAGAACGTTCCATGAAATGGAGAGAGAGAGAAAACCAAATAGGGAAAAATATCTATATCTTTTTAATTTCCTGAGAATTCAGCCAAATCAGAATTAAAGAAACCAAAAAACCAAAAGTTAATGTTAACACCATTCAAACCAATTTTTTTTGGAATTCTGCATATAAAAAATCAAATTATTGACTACTATTTCACCAAATATCCCTCTCCCTGGGCAGTCCCAGCATGAGAGCGTGTGGTGTTCATCAGTCTGGGATTTCTCAGCATCAGTTCTGCCTCAAACATGGTATAGATCAGCATCTCTTAAACACTGTATTTAGTCTTAGGTTTGAGAAGAAGGTGGCTCTACTGGGGTCTCATAAGAAATCACATCCTTCCCTTAACCTGTCCCATTGACAATATAAAGGCATTGTTAAAATTTGAGTTTCTTTTTATGAATATGACTGTCAGAATGGAAAAGGGCTGACCTTCACCAATCGCCTCTCCAGGAGGGGCACGTCAGGTCCTTGACCCTGTCATCATGAAGCCTGATACCCCCAAAGGCATCTGATCCCCCTGCCTACTAAAGCTGAATGGAGAACCAAACCTTGAGACATAAAAGTCAGCTCACTAACAACCCAGACCGAAGTCAGTAGAACAGGAAAAATACAAAATCCAGCACTTTAGTCAGGTCCACAGAAAAAGACGAGATCAAGAAGTGACATTTCAGCTGAATTTGGGAGGACATTTAGGTCCAGCTGTTTGGATACAAACGTCTTCCTGACCTGAGAAAAATAACAGCCTGTGGGGACATAAATGTGGCACCATGACCCCTTGGCCTGTGCTGATCTTTACATTCTCTTTTCCCATAACACCAGTGGTTCCAGTGGAAACCTTGTGGTGGCATTGGCTGTTTCCGACCAAACAGCAGCAATTCTGCTTCTTCTTTTCTCAGTAAGTAAATCCTCTCAGAGGCAAATGAATGAGAATGAAAATTATATAGGAATAACCCTCAATCTCTGAGATTTCTAACGCAAGGACTATGGGGGAAGGAAATCATTCACAAACTTCAGGTTCTATTACAGTTAATAAATTGATTGCAGTATACCTCCTAAACATCAATTAGTTGCAACATAAGAATGTCCAGCTAGTGGGGGGGCCTGGGTGGCTCAGTGGGTTAAGTGACCAACTTCTTGGTTTTGACTCAGGTCATGATCTCAGGGTCCTGGGATGGAGCCTCACACCAGGCTCTGAGCTCAGCCGAGAGTCTGCTTGTGATTCTCCCTCTCCACCCCCCTCTGCCCCTCCCTCCACTCATGCTCTCTCTCTCAAATAAATAAATAAAAATCTTTAAAAAAAAATGTCCAGCTAGTGAATAAATGTCTCCAAATAAAAGTGTTATGCAAATTTAATTATATTAACTTAAACAAGTATTTTGTGTGTGCCTATTATCACATTATAATGTATCATATAAAAGTGTCTCTATGCTTTCTCCCTGAAAATTATTCCTTTATGTCCTGTTTGTAAAAAACAGAAGACTAATACATTGCATTCCATATTATTTACTGTAAACAAAATTTTAAATCATATTATTTCATGAAGGAATTCAGGCACCCCTCAGGTTTTGGAGTAGATAGTTGCTAAAGTAATTCTACTCTGGTTCTTTATATTGTAGAAATTGACATACGCATGGAAAAAATATTTAAAATATGTCATTACATAAATGCCATCAAAATGATAATGAAAATATGCACAATATTTTGTAATATGTTCTTAAGAGGTAGATATAGCCTGACACAGGGCACAGTTTTCTCATTTGTGATGGTAAATAAACTACTTACCATTGACTCTCACAGACAGCTTTTCTGGGGGCGCCTGGGTGGCTCAGTCAGTTGAACACCCTACTCTTGGTTTCAGCTGGGTCGTGATCTCAGGGTCATGGGATTGAGCCCTGCTGCGTCAGGCTCCATGCTCAGCATGGAGTTTGCTTTCCCTCTCCCTCTCCTTCTGCCCCTCCTCCCACTTGGTCTCTCTCTCTCTCTGATATAAATAAATAAACCTTAAAAAAGAAAGCCTTTCTGGCTTTGTTAGCAGGGCTTGCTGCTCTCTACTCTAGTTTCTGGAATGGAAATGATACTCTCTGGTAAAACAGACTGCTGACGGCCATGCCTCATGAGGAGGACATGCCATTCCAGGAGATGCCTTGAACATATTCATTGCCTAATGCAAGAGTCAAAAATTCTTTGATCTCTCAATGAATTCATTTTTCTAGAATGGACTTTTATAAGTGCCTGTGGACCAATCTTTTGAGAATACCCATGTAATCTCTAAGCAGCTGTTCTGGGATTCCTGAGTGCAAACACAACTCAAGGGCAACAGCCTGAATAGAAAGTATAGATGTGATGAAGAATTAATTCTCTCTTGGATTCATTAAAGTTGTGGCAGTCATCTTTTCCTAACATGCAATGAGGAGTTCAGCTTCCTTTCTCTTTGGGGACATTGATGAGTAAAGTTCAGTACTAGATTTCTATTAGAAAGCTGGAGGTGGCAGAAGCCTATGAGATTGGCTTCTCCTCATTATCATCAGGAAGAAGAGAGGTTAAGTGTGGATGTGAGCTTATTTGGTTGGATTCCATGCAGCATGGGGAGTTTCCCCCCTCAGACTTGGACTCGTCCATACTGTATGCTCTGCCAATACATGTGTATTGGAGCTATAGTACTAACAACCTACTCTTTTGGCACTAAGCTGCTCCTAGTTAGGGCTGCTCACCTGGATATGGTGCTTCTTTTCTTCCCCACCAACATCCTTACATCTTCATGTCCCCAGTCTTCTGGTCCTGCCAATGCTCTGATCTGATGATGACATTATTGATATGAGTTCTAAAGGAGAAAAAAACAGAGCCATCAAACAGCTCTGTAAGTCACAGTCGAGAAAAAGGTTGTAAGTTTGAAAATCTTGTAATATTTAATCTCACCAAAATTAGGATAAAAACATTAGATGGTGTCAAGAATTAAGTGTCTAAAGTTCAAACACTCCCTTAGCAACATGAATTTTTCCATATGTGAAAGAGAAGTACAGAAGTGGTGCTTATTAAAGACCTTAGAATCATTATCCACCAGGGAAATGCAAACCAAAATCGCATTGATATAGTACTTCACACATACTAGGATGGGTGTACTAAAAAGAACATATAATAACATGTTGGTGAGGAGGTAGAGAAATTAGGATCCTCATATACTGCTCTTAGTAATGTAAAATTGTGCCGCTGTGTTGAAAACAACTTGGCAGTTCTTCAAAATGTTGAACATTGAGTTATCATATGATCCAGCAATTCCACTCCTAGGTATAAATTCTATATAAATAAAAATACATGTTCACTAAAAACTGGTATATAAATGTTCATAGCGGCATTATTCATAACAGCCAAAATGTGGAAATAAACAAAATGTCAATTAAGTGATGAATGGATAAGTAAAATGTGGCATATCCATAAAATGGAAATCATTCAGCAGTAAGAAGGAATGAAATACCAATACATACTACAATATGGATGGGCCTTAAAAACACCCCAAGTGAGAAAAGCCAGACACACAAGGCACATACTATATGATTTTATTTGTATGAGACATCCAGAATAGGGCTATCCATAGACACAGGGAGCAGATTAGTGGTTGTCTAGTGTTACTAAATGGGGCAAATATGGGGGATGATTTTTTTAATATGTGGGTACTGGATTTTTTTGCAGGGGCGGTGGATTATGAAAATGTTCTCAGATATCAGTGGATTGGAGAATGCAGGAAATTTGAGATCACAATGTGTGAAATGCTTGACACAGGTGTAGCTGGTTGTCCTGGTGGAATAGAGTATTACAGTTGTCAGAAGATCCTATATAGAGAGCACTATTATAATTGCAGCTAGAAGGTTCATGTTTTTATTGTGTAAGAAGTTTTCCAGAATGAAAACTATCTAATTGCTGATCTCATTAGAGAACCCACATTCCCTAGCTAGCTTCCTCAGGGCACCCTTGACCTCCTTGTTTCTCAGGCTGTATATGATAGGGTTGAACATAGGGGTTATGACACAGAAGAACACAGAGACCAGGATGTCCATGTCTAGGGAGTAACCTTCTCTGGGTCTGTCATAATTGAAATTGGCTGTTCCAAAGAAGACCACTACCACAGTAAGGTGGGATGCACAGGTAGAGAAGGCCTTGCTCCTACCCTGAGCAGAGGGAATCCTGAGAATGGCAGAGATGATGAGTATGTAGGACACTCCAGTAAACAGGCAAGGGCTCAGGCCAATGGTGGCACTGGCCACATGGAGCACAGATTCATTGAGAGAGGTGTCTGAGCAGGAGAGTTTCAGGAGCAGTGGAATGTCACAGAGAAAGTGGCTGATTTGGTTGGGCCCACAGAGGGTGAGTGTGGCTGCCAGCACCGTGTGTGTCACAGAATTCACCAGTCCACACAGCCAAGACCCAGTCACCAAAAAAACACAGACCTTCACACTCATGAGGACTGGATATCGAAGAGGGTGGCAAATGGCTACCAAGCGGTCATAAGCCATAGCAGCCAATAAGACACATTCAGTGCCGGCACATGTCACGAGGAAGAAAATCTGGGAAAGGCAGCCTTCGTATGAGATGGTCTTCTTCTCCCGGAAGAAGTTCACCAGCATGACTGGGATGGTGGTGGATGTATAGCAGATGTCCAAGAAACTCAGGTTGCTGAGGAAATAATACATTGGAGTGTGGAGAGCAAGACTGATTCTAGTGGCTGTTAGTATGAGCATGTTCCCCAAGAGTGTTGTCAGGTAAATGATCAAGAAAACCAGGAAAAGCAAACCCTGTAGTTTGGGGTGGTTGGAAAATCCCAAGAAGATGAATTCAGTGACATCTGTTTGATTGTTCATTTCAAATGGTGTCATAGCTACAAAAAATGAGAAAAATAAAAGCCATAATGAGAATGTACAAAGAGCACCCTAAATTGGCATGTTAACTTGCAAGGTCCTATCAAATATGTTGGATATAGAATGGTCTGGACTGTGGATGGTGGAGTGCAGGAAAGTCTTCAGAGAGATCACAAGTTCTCACTCAACAAATCCAGCCAGCTCAGGCCTAGGGACCTCCCATGGGTTTACATAACTGCTGGTGGGTGAAAATAAATGTTGGTTAAACCCAACAATAAACCATTAACTTCATTAGAGTGAACTCATGTAGCTTAGTCTCATTGTCTTAGTGATATCTACCTATCATTGCCCTTTCTGGTAAGCATCTCATTTTTTCTTTCATTTTTTTCTGAGAAATAAAGTTTCATTGCAAAAAAACATTTTTTTAAAGATTTTATTTATTTATTTGACAGAGAGAGACACAGCGAGATAGGGAACACAAGCAGGGGGAGTGGGAGAGGGAGAAGCAGGCTTCCCGTGGAGCAGGGAGCCCGATGTGAGGCTCGATCCCAGGACCCTGGGATCATGACCTGAGCTGAAGGCAGATGCTTAACGACTGAGCCACCCAGGAGCCCAGCAAAAATTTTTTAAATGTAGAAAGATGGGGTGCCTGGGGTGGCTCAGTCTTTAAGCATCTGCCTCCCAGGGTCCTGGGATTGAGCTCTGCATTGGGCTCCTTGCTCAGTGGGGAGCCTGCTTCTCCATCTCTCTCTGCCTGCTGCTCCCCCTGTTTGTGCTCTCTCTCTCTGTCAAATGAATAAATAAAATCTTAAAAAAAATAAATGTATAAAGATATAAATAAGAATTCAATCACCTGCAGAATCAGAGCCAGTGCTACCTTTTGGTGTTCACAATTGTAGTGGTGGATTTTTTTTTTCTTTTGCAGTTATGTAAATCCTGACCTCTATTTATTGCTTTAAAATATTAAGAGCACTCGTCATGATAAGCCCTGGATGATGTATGGAATTGTTGAATCACTATATTGTATACCTGAAACTAATAACACTATGTTAATGATACTGGAATTAAAATATTAGAAGCAAAATTTTCAAAATTAGAAAAGAAGAAGTAAACTATCTCTATTCACAGATGACATGATCATATATGTATATAACCAAAGAATCCACAGGAACATTATTAGAGTTCATAAACAAAGTCAGCACAGTTGCACACACAAAAATCAGTTATATTTCCATACATTATCAATGAACAATCTAAAAAAGAAGTTAAGAAAGCCATTCCATTTACAATAATATCTAAAAGAATTAAGTGCTTGCAATAAATTTTACTGAGGAAGTAAAATGTCTGTACACTAAAAACTACAAAACATTGTTGAAAGAAATTAAAGAAGACAACTAAATAAAAAGGCACTTATGTTCATGGATAAAAAGACTTAATATTGTTAAGATGTTAGTACTATCCAAAGTAATGTACAGGTTCACTGCCATCTCCATCAAAATTTCAGTATCCTTTTCCCACAAAAATGGAAAAATCGATCTTTAAGTTCATATTGGATTGCAAGGGGCCCTGAATAGCCCAAACAATTATGAAAAAGAAGAATAAAGTTGGAGGACTCACACTTCCTGATTCCAAAACTTATTACAATGCTTCAGTAATTAAAACAGTATGGTACCGGCATAAGGATGGACATATAAACCAATGACATAGAATGGAGAGCCCAGAAATAAATTCTCACATATATAGTTAATTGATTTTCAACAAAAGTTGAAAATGACCCTTCAGTGAGGAAAAGGACAGTCTTTTCAACAAATGATTCTGAGAAAACAGAATGAAGTGCACAAAATTAACTTACGCTATGCACAAAATTAACTCAAGATGGACCAAAGACCTAAACTTAAGAGCTAAAACTATAAAACTCTTAGGAGAAAATGTTGGGGAAAATCTTTATGCCATTGGATTTGGCAACTATTTTATGGATATGACACCAAAAGTATAAACAAAAAAAGAAAAAATAGATAAATTATACTTCATCAAAATTAAGAAAGTGTCATCAAAATACACTATCAAGAAAACAAAAAACAACCTATAAAATAAGAGAAAATATTTGCAAATCATATATCTGATAAGGGACTCATATCCAGAATATATAAAGAACTCCTACAATTTAACCATAATTACAAAAAAAACCCTCAATTCAAAAATAAACAAAGGACTTGAATAGACATTTCTCCAAAGATAATATACAAATGGACAATAAGAACGTGAAAAGATGTTTAATATCATTAGTCTTAGGGAAATGCAAATCAAAAGCATGAGCTACCACTTTTCACCTATCAAGGATAGTTATAGTGAAGAAAATGGAAAATAAAATATGTTAGGATATGAAGAATTTCAAACCCTCATGCATTGTTGATGGGAATGTAAAATGGTGTGTCTACTGTGGGAAACAGTTTGCGAGTTCCTCAAAAAGTTGAACAGAACTTCCATATGACCCAGCAATTCTATTCCTTGGTGCATATCCAAAAGAACTGAAAGCAGGGACTTGAACAGATGTTTGTATACTGGTGTTCATAGCATCATTATTCCCAATAGCCAAAACAACCTAACTGTTCAGCAGAGAACGTTAGGAAAAACAAAACTGCGGTATATGCATTTGATGGGCTATTATTCAGTCATAAAAAGGAACAAAATTTTTATATATATTATAACATGAATGGATCTTGAAAACATTATGCTAACATTATGCTAAGCCAGACACAAAAGGACAAATATTGTATGATTTCACTTATATTATGTGCTTAGAACAGGCAAATTCATAGAGACAGAAAGTAGAGTAAAGGTTACCAGAGGCTGAAAGGAGGGTGGAATTGGGGGGAGTTATTGTTTAATGGGTTCAGAGTTTATGTTGAAGACAATGAAAAAGTTTTGTATATAGATAGAAATGATGGTTGTACACATTGTGAAAATACTTAATGTCACTGAATTGTACACTTCCAAATGGTTAAAATAATGAATATTGTGTATATTTTATCACAATTTTATTTTTGTTTTTTTTTAAGATTTATTTGTTTATTTTAGAGAGAAAGAGAGAGCATGAGTGGGAGGGGCAGAGGGACAGGGAGAGAGAATCTCAAGCAGACTCCATGCTGAGCATGGAGCCCAGTGCAGGGATCAATCTCATGACCCTGATATCAAGACCCGAGCCAAAACCAAGAGTCAGATGCTTAACCAACTATGCCACCCAGGCGCCCCTACCACAATTTTAAAAATAGTGAAAAAAAATGTTGGGAACCCAATTTCCCAGGTATGCTTTATCTTTCATCATACAGAAAAAATTTAATATCTCTCCTTTGATTAAACATTCAGATGCTTCCATTTCTTTTACCATTGTAAATACTGAAACAGACATTTTCAAGAAAAATATATGTTAGCATATCTGATTATCTTTTCAGAGTAAATTAAGTCTGTGTTTTTAAATATACTGATTTTTTAATCAATTGGATCATTTATCTTTTCAGGGTTTAAAAGATGTGAAAATTTTTAGGTAATCATATATACTTAGGTATGTTACCTTATTAAATGTATCTTACTACCTTATTAAAGTAAACTTTATTAAGCCAAGATTTAACTTCAGTCAAACATTGCATGTTTCCTGAAAAAATAATTGATACAATTACTAGCTTTCTGTTAAGTTATCCATTCTGATATGTTCACAGCCATTGAACTATGATTTCTGTACCTTTTTTAATCTTGGAGGTGAGATATCTTGAGGCAGATAGATGTGGATACAAATCCTACTTCTACTTACTAGATGTAGCTGGTGGCTAAGTCAACTGACTGCTCTGTTTCCCATTCTCATGTCAGTAGTGCCTACACCAGAGTTGTTGGAAAAAGTAGCATGGCATGATATAAGTAATGTGCCTTGTATGTAATAGATATTCAACCAACTGTAGTTATCACTGCTATTATTTCTAATCCATACAAAAATATTTCAATATAAAATATTTTCTCTGACTCTACCTTCAAAATTGTATAAATGTGATCACTTTTCACTACAGTCACTACTGATGCCCCAGTCCAAGCCACCATTTTCTCTTCCATCAACGATTGCAGCAGACTTCCACTTTCTTCCCATCCCTGTTCCCACTTAAATCTGTCTCCACACAGCAGCAGCCAGAGTGAGTTTTTATAATGTAAGCTAAATTATGCCACTCCTAAACTCAAAACCCTCCAATGTTTTTCCATCTCACTTATTTGAAATCTAAAGATCACACCTTGGCTTACAAAACCTATGGGATCCGACCTCTTGACTGCCTTTCTGTTATTACTTCCCACTGTTCTTCCTTTTTGCTCACTTAGCTTGAGCTACACAGAGCTGCTTTCTGCTTTTAACTACACCGAACACCTTTCCATCTCAAGGGCTTGTACTTGCTATTTCCTTTGCCAGAAACACTTTCCCCCAGATATTTGCATGTTCCATTTCTTATTTTCATTGAGGTTTTTCCTGAACTGTTACCTCCTCAGGGATACTTTCTCTGACAATTCTATTTAAAATAGAAGTCGCATCACTTTTTATCACCTTACCTTGCTTTAACTCTTTTTGTGGAATTTATGCTGCATTTGGCATGAAATTATTGATCTATTCACTTCTGTTTGTAGTATAAGTTCTATGAGGCAGGAGGCTCAGTTTTGGTCATTCTCTATCCCTCATACCTAAGAGAGAGCCTGGAATACAGCTTATGCTCAATAAATATTTGTTGAATGAATATATAATTCTATATTTTAGGTGATTATGGAATTCATTATATTTCTTGTGAGAAAATCTAGTCTAATTCTTTTCCATTGTGCCTACTTATGCTTAATTATTCTTTCATATATCTCTCTCCTGACCTGTGAATATTAAACCATCATGCCAATCAATTTTAATCTTTAGAGTAGAAAACTTTACACATTGGGAATTTTAACATTTTACTCTATATTGGCTTTTTATATAATAAGTAATCCTCATTAGTGATAAA